CAACTGGGTCCTGAAGCGAGTTCCGCGCTTGTGATCCTACTTGCATAATCTCTTTCGTCGCTCTTGCAGCAACTCGATTGAGCTGAACTACATCCATATGATGGAGTTAGGGTCGGATTAAACCCTGTTGTAAGACGACCAGACATTCCATCTTGAATTAAGCCAACCTGATAGTGCTCGATTGACATCAGGGTAATGTATTCCAAAAAAAAAGGAGAAAAGCCAACTTTCGCAAAGACTGTTCCTTTCAAGTCGTCGTGAAGGCCAAATATCCATTCAAGTGCCCTACGGCTTAAAGTGAAAGTCGAACGACTCACTCGAAAAGGGTCCACTTGACGCCAGTTAGTTGGAGCTTTCTAGTGAAGGTATTTCACTAAATTGTCCTCCTGTTTCTCGTAAAAGAAGTGTGTGGAGTGAAGCAAACGTCAAATGTCGAAGTAATCTAAGCCTATCGGGGGAGTAATGGATCATTAATCCAGTTTCAGCTTCTAGATTTGGTTTGTATTAGCTAATGCTAATGTTTGGGTCTAGCTTGCTTTGTGTTGACTATATATGTGATAGTCGAATTCGAGTCCTAGACGAATAAACCGGAAAACTGCCAGCGCTTCCTAGCACTTCACGCACTTAGTCTTCGTTTGGGCGCGCTACTCTGTAATTTTGATCACAAGTTTTCCTTATGACTGGCACGCTCACGTGACATGGTTGGGAAGTTTGATTACCCATGCCAGGGTTCAACGTCTGGCTACGATTTGGCGGAAAGCAGCGAAGTTGGATCAACTCGATAGGTCGCTTGGTGGAGCTTCGAAAAAAAGAGCGAAAGGTCGTCATTGAGAAGGCAAAGATCACGCTGTGCGATTGAGCGGGTCATTCTGGTTCGGATCCAAGGCGGTCACCCACCGCGCTGGTGATTGAAAGTGGAGTAGGGACAGGAGAGAATGGCGATGTGTGATAAGAACAGCAACTCCTGAGCTTAGCGAGATTAAAGGCGAATTACGCGGTAGTCTATGTACATCGAAAAAAGAATATGAGGGCGCAAGGTGGTCAGCTGGTTACGAAATATTCCAAAGGACTTGCCGAAAAGCCTGTAAAATAAAGCTCTATTTTGCTACTCATTTTGAGCGGTATACGAAAAGTGGACCTCTGGAAAGCTTCCACTCGCCCCCCTTTTTTATGAAAGCTTTCACTCGCTGTATCATATTTATATCCATCAACATAACATTCTATTGCCCGTGCGCTCACCGTTAGGAATGCTGATTATCTTCAACATATGAGCTGCAGCGCCGTCATAGAAACAAACTGTACATGTGCCGCTCCTCTGCTCTTGTCGTGAGTGGATGAATGTTTCGCCCGAGTACAGTATTCCTGCTCACGCTTCCCTGTCAAATAGTGCCTGGGGATATGGCGCCTGTGCAGCGTAGTGAATTACCATGGGGGCTGTCCGGGTAAGTCGCTTTCCTATTTCCGCCTTACCGCCACGCCAGCTGTACGTTAAACCTATCCAACTTGCGTTACAATTGCCGAGCACTTGCTTAGACATTAATTAGAGATTCTGCGACCTCTCTAATAAGTTTGCTTCCGATCCTTCCATACACACAGCCCGTACAGCAGCAGTAGCCACAATGCATTAGCGATACAAAAAGAATCCATCAGAGAAGGATCCACTCTCATTTTCCTCCAACTTTTGCTCCCGTATTTTACCTTTCTTTTATCTGTACTTGATATGAACGGATGGCGTATTTATAATTTACTATAGTAAATTGTAGGTGGTCTTGATTTGAAAACGCAAGAAGCCGCACTTCGTTCTGGGCCGGATGTGGTCGTCGCTACTCCAGGACGACTCATTGATACATATTTGCACAATTTCACCATCTTTATCTCTGCAATAATAGTGAGGTAATTTAATATAATACCAATTTTACTTCCCATAATATGATACCCATAATATAATACCAATTTTTCTGGTGGTGGCGAGCTAGAGCTTGTTAGTTCTCATCCTAGTTGATTTTGTTTTAGACGATTAATCCTTTCTCATGGTCCTCTTTCGGCCTTGATATTTTCAAGGCCTATTCCCACTGAGGATGTAGGCAGAGTGCGCCGGGCTGACTTCAAGCAGTCAACATGCCCCTCATTGGCTGTGCATGAGGTTAATTGAAGCACTTAGTGTAGCTCCTTTGTGCTATCTCTGCACAGGCAGAAGGAGAGCCAAAAAGCAGACGCTTTGCTGATTCGCTAGGGCATTCAGATGGAAGATTGTAGGTGAAATATTCCTGTAATGTTCCTAATAATAGGCAACTCTCCACCATAGCCCCCACCGTCATAGCAAGGTGAAGCCGTCCGCCGTCCACCATTGCTATCGAGCTGACGACCGGTATTTATTTGACCCTGAAGCAGCGGCGTAATTTCTAGGGTGAGGTCACCCGAAAGCAGGAGCCTCGAGGCTTTCACTCTGATGCTGCCTCTACCAGAGCGCTAATTTCTTCGATCCTCTCAGCTACAATGGGCCGTTTTGGCCTATAATAGCTTGGACATCTCCCGAGTCCATATCAAACCTTTTAGACTTCAGAAACCACCCTTTCCGTTCGCCTTATACCTCAAAGATATCCCCTTGCTCTACTCCATATGCGCAGAAAAGTCTCAGTAACATAACAAATTTAGAGCGGCAGCGTGCATTCTAAGTGAATACAGATATGTTAGAGTCCGACGATAGCCCGCTTTCGGCGGTCACGAATATAAGTTGTAGGCCATTTGAGCCTATTTCTTCTTCGCACTGAACCCAGGATCTATTGGAGCACGTTCCGAGAGTATCTACCAAACTGCTTTACATGACCAATTGTAAACTGTCGTCTCTACCCAGAGCACGTTCACCTAGTGAAATCACCACACTTTCAGGTTCTTGTTTTGGATGAGGCCGATCGCATGCTTGAAGAAGCGTTCAAAGACCAAATGAATGAGCTTATTCGACTTTGTGCACCTAATCGCCAGACTTTGCTGTTTTCAGCAACAATGACCGACCAAGTGAGTTTCGGAATCTAAATTGAGGCTCAGGTCATCACCACGGGTAGGATGAAATGACATTTCTGCAAAAATGCGTCCTCGCAGCGCGGATATACAAAAACATCGTAGAGCCTTTCACGGTAGAAGAACCGGTGTGAAAGCTGACCACTAAGCCCGTGAGCTAGTTTTTGCGGTGGGAACGAGTACAGAACTCCAAGGTAGAGAGTACCAGTTTTACTTAGTCAAACTGCATCGATCAGCTCCACCTATTTTTCGCAATCCTTGGGCGACCTGTTTCACTAAAACATTTCCAGCAAAATAGCTGCGAGGGGGGGGGGTAGCTGCATAGACAGTTCTGGGAAGAGCCCTTCAAGATGTCCTTTGGGCGGTGAACAAATCATGGTGAAAGCACTGATACCTTTGCAGACTGCAAAGGCGACAAAGCTTTTGAGAGGACCTTGCTGTACTCGTCGAAAGTAAGGAGTTATTACTCAGGAGAGGTGGTTTTTCCTCAGAATCACTGAGAAAAGGAAGCGTCGAAGCCAGTAAGGCAGCGTTCTTACTTCGTGACAGCAGTGGCGATCGCCGCGATCGTCGGTACGCGTCAAAGCGCGCCCCGGCACTATTACTTGGCTATCAGCTGGGCTTCTGATAGATGATAGATTGCTTCTTTTTCTTTCTTTTCTTTTCACTGTTTCAATTTATATAAGTGTCTTGAAACTTCCTACTGGCTAAACTGTTCGACTTCCAAAACATTTATAGTTTACAAGTCGAGTTCAAACAACGAAAAAAAAGAAACAGAAAGGAACTCACCTAGGAATCAAAACACTAATTCTTTTATGCAACATCGAGGAGGAGGAAACTTCTACAAGTTCATGTATAAGCTCGAAGAATGAAAAAGAAACAGTAAGAAAGCTACACTAAAAGGAGCCCTTTTGCTTTTTGCTCATTTCTATCCCGAATTAAAAAAGAAAATGGAAAAGAAAAGCCCTTAGATTCATCCACATTTCCTTGAGTCCAACAAGCTCTAGTACGTGAGACAATTGCAATTAAAAGAAAAAAAGCAGGAAATTAAGCCAATTCCTCCTAATAGCACTCGGAGCGGTCCAAGTAATAGCGTTGGGGCGCGCTCTGACGCGTACCGACGATCGCGGCGATCGCCACTGCTGTCGCGAAGTATGAATGCTGCCTGACAGTTTCTGGATAGTGTCCATTCACATCCCGCGATCACTGGATGTGCAAATGCTTTCCTTGCACGAGATAGTACGGTGCGCAGGCGCAGACGTTACACCAGTTGAGATGCGGAAAACTATGGTGAGAAAGCTAAGCAAGGCTACTCACCACTCACTGCGGTGGCGCTGTTGCTCCAACACTTACTGTTTCCAAATACGAGAACAGAGTGCGAAGGGAATTAGTGAGTTACACCTGTAACCGGAAATTACTGTAGCGCTCATAATTAGCACCATCTTAAATGTTACATTCCGGGTGATTTTAGATTGACGAATTGGCGTCGATGTCGCTAAAGAAACCAGTGAAGATTTTCATCAACGAGAACACCGAAACGGCTCTGAAACTGAGGTAATTTATTTTTTTTCCTGGCCGCATAGAATTTTTTTCTGGGAGGATATCTGAAATGGCGGTCTGATCAACCAAAATCAGTTGTTCTGAAAACCAGATAACCTACATAGGCAAAAAATGTTTAAAAGCTGTTTTGTTATGATAACTGCTGTTTAACGCCGCAGTACGCGTTCCGAATGTTATCACAAGAATGCTGAGTTGTGGGCAAAAGTCGTGCCCCAGGCGGGAGTCGAACCCGCACCTCACGCTTTCCGGGCGAGTGTGAAGTTAAGCTCACCAAGTTAAACGTGTGAGTGCTGTAAGGCTACGGCATAAAAAGCCGTTAAGCTGAGAGGGTAAAAGCGGCCCTGGTGGCGTAACGGATAGCGCACTCGCCCGGAAAGCGTGAGGTGCGGGTTCGACTATTTACATAGCATTTCCACATGTTACAATTGTAACGAAACTTTTCAGTGAAGTTGTTCACTCATTTCTGAAATGTTAGTTAAAGACACATGGTACGCTCAGACACATTGAGGGTGTATGAGACTATCAGCCCCCCAGCTGTCGATGTGTCGTGGTCCCCCCGCCCAAACTGCACGGGCATCATCGGCATAAGGCAACGTCATCATGGCCTTATGCCTTTGTGGGATCACCAATTCAATCAGCATCTAAGATTTCTTGTTTGAAGCTGTTACCCACAAATCGCCTCAGTGGGATTCGTCTTTAAAAGCAGTTGGCACGACAATTTGGTACTTGGCCTAAAATGCTAGCAGGGCGCTATATAGTGGGGAAAATGGGAAATGGCGAAAGAACGGAGTGAAACGGTCAAAATCCTGCGAAGAAAAAGCCTTCGTTCTCAATGACTTAAAAATCAATTTCGGACGAGTTTCCCATAGGCATCTTGCCAATAACCGCTACCGAAGATACGGCTGCATGTGTGTACTCATATATCCATGCAGCACCGCGCCGCTTCATACCAATCCCTTCGCTTCATAATTTGCTTAGCAAATGAATCAATACGAGCGTCAGGAACGGTCGTCCATTTGTGGGCGGGCGGGCGTGGTGGGCGTTCGGGTCGGTATGTTGTGCTTGATAGAGTCCTTATGAGGGTACCTTCCTTGGAAGGGCGCTGCGCAGCATCTCCTCAGGGGCGCGGAATTCCGTCCTGCCAGGCGTATTAATCCTACTCCTCTTTAGGGATTTATCGTGCCAACTGCCTTTAAATGATATCGTGCTGATCTAAAGTGGCAAAAGCAGTACCGCTCAGAATTTCTAGTCGCACAAGTTACTGTGCAGTCAAATGGCTCATTTTAGCGGGTCTAATTGAATCCCCTTAATTTTTCCCTCACCTTCATCATCGTCATACAAACGGATACTTTCAGACAGGAATTTATTCGTATACGCGCAGGACGTGAAACAGACCGTGAAGCGATCGTTTCAGCCCTCGTTACAAGAACCTTCCAGGTAAACTGGTTTCCTCGTCTTCCCTATCCCGTTATCTGAACATGATATGCCGTGGTATACAAACGAGTATCTCGCGATTACTATTGAACGGCTGAATAATCCGCCTTTACAGGAGAACACCATTATTTTCGTTCGAATGAAGAAGGATTGCCAACGCCTTCATATACTGCTCGGTTTACTTGGGCTGAAGGTAAGCATACTCAGTTGAGCTAACTTGTTTTTTTGTAAGCTGTCAGCAGCCGCCAAACGAAAAACCTTCTCCTCTTGTTGTGCAGCCATTTTTTACTATTTGAAGAAATGAAAAGAGGTCCACATATGCAGAATGAAAGGCCACACTCTTACTTGCCAACCAAGTTTCTCTCGGGCCGTTGAGTTTTCACCCGATGAGAGGATTCAAGCACTGGTCATTGCATTGTCTCACAATTACAACTTAGAAGCACGGGTTCATGCGGAGTGGATGCGTGGCTCATACCTCGCAGTAGAAATAACCTAATTTTCGAGAAACTTAATAATCCTTCTCTTGGCATTATTTTTGTTCGAAGTTTTTCTGTGAAAATAAAACGAAGAAGCCTTTTACAGGCTGGACAGATGCATTCGTCACTATCTCAAGCACAGCGTATTGAAGCGTTGTCGAAATTCAAGCGGCGCGAGGTAAGCATTATAAATTAATGAATGTCAGTCTCCAAACTCTCACCACTCGTCTTCATAGTGCGGGTCCCTCCAGAGAAGGGTGGCGGTCCATCTTTTCGGAGGGGTCAACGCTATCAAGGGTACTGTTCAATGTTTCATTGGAAGATGCCTTCGATTGCCATTCGCTTTATGGGTCTAATCGCTCGAGTTTCGAAGCTGCGCTTGATTGCTTTATATCCCCATGTTCTGTGTAGATGGATTGCTTCATATCCCCCATGTTCTGTGTAGATGTTCTACTTTACTGTAGGCTTTAGTTGAAGGTCGGATATTTGTAGTATTGAAGACTCTCATTTTGGCATGAAGTGGATCTTCCGGTAGGCCAAAAATTACGGTAATGAAAGGGCGGCGCGTGCAGTTCTTGATTTGAACCGCAGCTAATTCAGAGTGTAGGTTCTATGTTTTTGTATTGTTAGTACGATACTTGCTCTTCACTGCCATTCTGTGGGATGTTAGTTTTCCTCCAGTGAGGAGTTATCGTGCCACAGAGTAAGGCGACTCAGAGATCCAGAGAGTCTGTATCAAGCAAAATTACTGGGTTCACTAAGTGACATACCAACTGCTACCACCTCGGGATTTAGTAGTTTTCATCTCGGAATTTAGTAAGGTTCTCACGAGTTCACCATTAAATTCCGAACTCCAAGGATCATTCTCATATGGGGCATTATTCTAAACAGGAACTTTGATCTGGATCTCCCTCAAATCCAGCAGATGTTTTGCGCTGAGGAACCTTCGGAAAGATTTGCTGGAGATTTGAGAAGGGCAAAGTGGCACAAGATTATAAGTTCAGGTTGTCAGGCTGCGTACAGTACCCCCGAAAATTGCGCGTGAAGTTAAAAATGTTGCGTCGTGAACGCACACAATCGGGCGCACCGTAATCGGTTTAGTTACCCAAGTTTGAGGTGCGTTTAATAGCTCCTGTTATACGGCTTTTGCATAAACCGGCTGATGTACGTTTCATCTTCAAGCCAAACCCAAGCGCGCATCGCGCGTACCTCGGGTGGAGCGCCCGCCCGACACCCGCACAGGGCACATCGTTGTTGGGGAATCCCCAATAGGGGGGGTCGTATTTGGGCTGAGAAAAATTTATTTTGATAGTTGATTTTTCTCGCTTCATGGACGTTGTAAAAGGGGGGGGGGTCGTACTTGGTCATTTTGGGAGGGGGGGGTCGTATTTACGTTTTGGCGTTGTAGGAGTGGTGGTTGACTTTTGGTGATTTTCCTGTTTCATGCGTACTATATGCCCCCCCCCCCCCG